CGTACGAAAACAAAAAGTTGTGGAGGCCAAACTTGTGAGTGTTCGTGCTTTGCTGCTTTGCGGTGCTGCAGCTGCTGCTGCCACTGCTGCCGCCGCAGCCGCCGCTGCTGCTGCTGCTGTTACTGCTACCTTTTTGCTGCGCTGCTGCTGCTGCTGCTGCTGCTGCTGCTGGCTGCTTGCTCCTGCTGTGCTCAGAATCTTCCAACCTCTACCTTTCGCCCACCTCCGCCGCCTCAAGTCAAGTTGAGCCACCTGATGTGTCTAAAGTTGGTGGCAGAATTTCCACTGCGTTCCATTGGGATTGACACGCAGCAAGCGGATGTAAATCAATCAAACCCACACTGTGTCAGAACTAGCGTTCCATTGGTCTTTGCACTCTTTCGGTCGGTTTTTTTGCGACAAACCTGGTTTGGGTATCAGCTTTCCATTGGGGTCAGCTCCGGGGGTGACTGGGGGATGACTTCTTGGAAACAGCGTTCCCATGGTGACTTGGCATTGAAATAGTGGCAAGGGGTGACTAAGGGATCCTGTATATGGTGATAGGCTAACGTTGCGCTCGGCGCGCAACAAATTTCATGCTGCGCGCGCGTGCAAAAATTTGTGGAAACCCCTTGAAGAAACCACGTGCGTCTTTGCCACAGTCAGCACAGTCAGCTTTCAAAAGCTGAGCGGCGGCTACCATAGTCAATTGAGACACGGTGGCTAGACTCGACGGTTCTAAGGAGACCCGGCTGGACAATGTTCCCCAAATTCTGAAAAAGAGGGCCGCCTCCTCCTGCTCCACACCCAATGCCCAAGAATCAATGCAAAAAAATGGTTTTGTAGATGGAAGTACGCTTGAACTTTTTACGAAAGCCAGCCGTAGGTTAGGCTGAAGGTCTGAATAGCGAACTAAAGTGAGTATTTGCGGGCCTAGGGGGAGGGGCGTTGCAAAATGAGTAGTTCGGAAGGTCAAAAATCATAATTTATTAGGGAAAACCGGAAAAGGTTGGTGGACGTGAATTGAGCAAAATTGTAAGTTTTGAGGAGGCTGTGGGCGCAAGTGATGCAATCAGACGGGGGCTGTCATGATGTAAAGGATGCAATGGCATGGGTGAAGAAGAAGGCAAGATAAGGAAGGAACAAGCAAGAAGAAGAAGAAGAAAGGTAAAAGAACGAGGAAGAAGGAAAGAAGGTAGAAGAAGGGTCATGCTAGATGCAGGAAAGTTCGGTACTGGAATTGACACGTTGTGAGTGTTCCTTCGCAGGCCAACGGCCAGTTGCGCTCAGCGAGCTCAAACAAATCTCCCAAGATTTCCACGGCGCTCCAAGTTGCCCCACCCCTCGACAGAGATCACTTGCGTGCCTTTGCGACAGCACACCACATCGAGACCTGTTTCCAATTTTTCCCACCGATTGCGGTGGCACGCGAATGGTTCATCTTCCACGGACAGGGCAGTGTCTAGTTCTCTGTCAATCGCTGGAATGAAGCATATTTTTGTTGCATTTAGCCTTAGAGGGGGAAGAAGGAATAGGCAAGAAGAAGGACAGAAGCAGGAAGAAGGGTCCTGCAGGATGCAGGAAAGTCGGGTACTGGAATGGACACGTCGTGATTGTTTTGGGCGGACGCATAACCTTGAACTGGCCGTTTGGCCAACGAGTTCATCAGGGGCGCAGCCTCGTCAAACTCATGCATCCATAGTGCGAGCCGATCGCTGCTGAGCGAAGCCAAGGACACTGGGACAGAGCGGTAATGCCATGCCTCGACCAAGATGCTCGTTCATCATGAAGCATAAAACCGTTTGTATCCATTTGTACTGCGATGTAGATGATTAAAGGATCCATTTTTTCAATCGTTTTGCAAATCATTGCCCTTCAACTGCGCGCGCTTGTCCGCCTATCTTGGGAAGCCTGTTCACCGAAGCCTCAAAACCTTCAAGTACCGCCGCGCTTTGTCGGAAGCTACAGGGAGAAAGCAGGAAGTAGAAGGAGAAGGTGGGCACACGAAGAAAGTCAAGTAGACACGACGGATGCAGTAGGGTCCCGTCACACATACGCGGGGGGGGTTGGCTTTGGCTCCCTCCCTTCTCAGGTGGTGAAGCAAACAAAAACACACTCACAAACCCAATCATACCGGGAGATTGGCTGCTACTGACAAAAATGGTTTGTCGGCAACCAACGCGGCTTTGAGGCTGCGCGCTGCATCATAGTACAGGTTGGCAGCCGACACCCTCCTTGTTGCTTCACCTTGATATGAGCGCCCTTCTGGCCAGCCAGGGCACGAGAAGGCCAATCGGGCGAACAAGCCGCTAAAGTCCCGATAATGCTTAGATAATATAAGCTGTACATGATACATGAGTTTTATTAGCATACTTGGCCGCCTTGGCCAACTGATGACGCAACTGCCCCTTCTACTGGAAGTTGCTCTACGGAATGCGGGTGCTCAGCGTTTTCGAGGCGTTTCTTTCTTGGCCCCCGTCGTTGAAGATCCACAGTCCTCGCGGAGAGCTCCGCTTCAGGATGGAGATTTGAGGCACGTTGAGCACGTCCTGCGGCCGCCTGTGGCCCGTGGCTCTTTCGGCAAAGTCCTCCAGCGGAACAGCAACGCAGGTACCAAACCCACGCCGCAGACCGGTTGCAAGCCCGATGGAAGCCTAAAGCACCAAACAAGAACATAATCAACCTGGGTGAGTTACAACAATTTGTGGTCGTGGCTTGTTTCGGTTAAATCGAACAGATGAAATACTTAATAAGTGAAAGATTCATCAATTTACTATAAGTGATGTCGGTTCAACCCCAGCACCCCAACCACCGCACGCACTCCAATGGCACACATGCACCAAATGCAAACAATTTTGTTGGGAATGTCGCGCAACACATCTACGGAAAGCGTTTCGGATTGTCCCATGTTCAGCTAGCGCGTGCTTCCTTCGTGTTTCAAGCAGGTTTTCCTTCCTATTTATTTTTGCAGGCCGCTGCACCCAGCCTATGCCAACTCAGCCGAAGCATGCCCTCGTGCTTACCAATCCCACGGAGGGCCCAGGAAGGCTGGAAAGGTGCCAGTCAGGTGTTGGGAGGTGACCTTCTCCCGCTTCAATGTCTCCATGTTCTGAGCTTAAAGAAGAAGCGGTTCGGACTCCATGGGCAACGGTGCGGCAAAAGACCCACTCATCAGCTCCCGCGCTTGACCACACGGAGAACCGGGGCAGTTGTGTTGGCTTTGAGGCCACATGATTTGCCCAGTGCTCCTGGAATGCATTGTGCAAATCTCGGCGAGCATTTCCTTTTCAGATGCCTGCGCTCCACCGACCGCTTTCTTAGCAGCTGCTTTAAGGCTGAAGAGCTGGGGCATATTGTCCAGCCCAACATGTCCAACAAGAGGCCTTCATTGCCTGCCACCACGTCCTCATAGCTGCTCTCATCACGCAACTGGCCCGCGTGCAAACACATTAGCTTGCAAAGGTCTTCTGCGGTTGCTGTGTTGCGTGCTCGACAGCTGCCTTGCAGAAGAGCACACTTGATCCTACTCAACAAGCGGCAGGGTTTGTGGGCACTTGAATGCTGAAAGATTTGGCTGCATCACAGTTCTTGACCAGGCAGCCATTGGACTTCTTCCAATCTGTTCCAACCCAGACCCCTTGAATATCCTTGAATTGATTAAAGGCTATACTTTGGGTTTGTCCCACTACCTGCAACAGCCGGCAAACAGTTATCAGTTATCATCACTATAAGTCTATAAGGCCTTTACTAAGCCTACTAAGCATCATCATCCACGGTTACTGGTGATGGGATATGCCATATAATACCCAAGCTATAGGCTGAAAAAGGCGCGGTAGAAAACGTTTAAAAAGTAGATAGGGACTTTTGGAAGACCAGAGTAACTTTGCAGCATGCATCACACCACAAACTAGACTAGGCTGCCTGGCTTATGAACATATTTCATAGGAGGGAGCCTGTTTTCCAAAAGTTTAAAAATGTCAGTCCCAAAAGTCAAAGTCAAGAAAAAAGTCAAATCAGAAAGTTTCAGAAAGCCACACCAAAACGTCAATTTGCACAGATCCGACTTCCTTTACTTCTGTTTTTTCTAAGTTTGACTGGTTTGACTTTTTTCACTTGTTTGCCGTGTTTTAATGAATTGTTATTTGACTTGTTTGTTTTGTAATTTTGACTTTTTTGACATTGTTTGACTTTTTTGACTTTTTCGAGCAGTGGTATATTTTTGATTGTCTTGATTTTTTCCGACTGTTTTTTTGGACTTTTTTACTGTTCAATTTGACTGTTTTGACTTTGACTTGTCCATTTGATGCTTTTTTGCATATGTTCGACTTTTTAAATCAAGTATTCTGGCCTTACCATATGAAAGATTTTTATAAGACTAGGCGGACAGCTCTACTAACTCTTTCTTGAAGATCTCTACCAGCTGCAACTTTGCTCTCAAAATCTCGATTTTCGGTGGTCACGTTTCTCTAGAAAACTTAGTCGTTTGCGCTAACTCTTCAACGCGCCTCCGTGCAAAACTATGATGTTGATATGTACCTGTGTTTGGTGTAGTTTACATTTGAGGGTTTCCTGTGGAAGTCTTTGCTTTTGGCAACTTTTGAGAGCTTTGCCAACTGCGGATTTTCCCAAGAGACGTTTCTACTTTTGCGTGTTTGTGTTGTGCCCGGACCCGTCACAGCGCGTCATGAATTCTCTTTGGCCATGGAAGCAAATGACAGTCGAACACGAGAACAAACTGCTGGGCCGAACCCAGAGCTTTGAGGGCTCTCCGCGGTCCGCATCCGAAAAGATCCGAAAAGTCAAGGGTCCTAGGTTTGTTTTTTGGTAGCGGAGGATGAGGAAAGGCGAAGAGGAAGAGGTCTGGGGTTCATTGGGACAAGAAACCGCTCAAGTGGTAAATTTAGGACAAAATGCAAACCATAAGGCAGTGAGCCAGTGAGCCACACAAAAGCAGAACAAACCGCTAGCTGCTTGGGCTAGCGCATTGTTCGTGTCTAGATCATTTGCTTCTGTGCGCGCAGGTTTTTGCAAAAAGTCCGGCCGCTGTTCTGGAAGATGCTTTGCAAGCAGCGTTGCGCGATGATTGGAAAAGTCAATGTGCAGACCAGGCCTCCTGTTGTGAGACACTTTGAATCCGCAACCGAGCAGCTTGGCAGGCCAACCTTGCTCTTAGGCGAATGGCAATAAAAGCGCAAGCCGCTGGCATGCACTCACTCTTGGGCAACCGGGGGGCAGATGGGCCGCAAGCTTAGAGTCACAATAAATCTGGCAAGAAACAGGCATTTGTATCAGCGTCACTTGTACAGATGCACAATGGGTGTAGACAAAGGGCCCGGTTTGATGTCCTGCGACGTGTTAAGAAGTTGCTCTTGCTTGCGTCACGTTTGCTTCCCGAGCCTCCAGTTGCAACCTTCAAGGCCTCGTTGCTCTGACGAGTACATGAGGCATCGGCTGGACGCATACTTTATTACTTTACCTAGACAGCCCAAATGTATCCAAATGTATTACTTTACGCAACTTGCAATGTACTTTGATTCCTGGTGTTGGTTTTGCGGCATTTTGGCTGTTTTGCAAGGATTCAAGTTTGGCTGGAGGTGGTCCGCTACCATGCAGCCGAACAATTAAAAGGACGGACAGACATTCTCGGGCAGTGGATCGGCAGACATCGTCATTTGCAGATTTACTAGCTAGCACATAGTACTCTCAGTTGTTTGTCATTCCTCCATTTTTCAAAGCTCAAGCCAACCTGCCGAAGACAAAAACATACAATAACATTTGGTAAGAAGTGCCAAAAGTTCCGATAACTCTTTGGATTGCACAAATGCTCGCTCAGAAGAGAAGCACTGTCACTGCTGATCAGTGGCCAAGCTCACTAACTGCGATTTTCATCCCACAGAGCAAACATGATGTTCGATGTGAACTGTAAATGCCGCCGCAGCTTATCGCTCATTCACTTCTGTACACGAGGGGTCCTTCCCTTACTTATTGTTTGCTTTCTTGATTCTTTGTGGAGGGTAGCCCAAATCTTGTCTGAAGCAGCTATCATGTGCGCCCATCATCGCACACGCACACTCGTCAACACGATTTGCTTTGGTGACAAATTCACTGCGGACTCAGGAACAGGTGTCCGTGCTCCGCTCCAGCATTTTCTGAGCCCATTGGAATCTTCGTTAGTTCTATCTTAGGCAAGCTTTAAAAAAATGATTGGTCTTGATGGTCTTTGTTTTGATGCCATCATCACGCTGTTACACCACTCCACAAGGAGAAGTCGGGCACCACGCGTCCCTCCTTTCTAAGCATCCTTTGATCTTGAAAGCTTGGAACCACTGTGACAGATTCTAATGGAACCGGTATTTGTCTGGTATGTTACGTTTTTGTTTTTAGATTGTTTTTCGGATATATAGTTTTTTTGTGTTTTGTCTGCTTTTGATTTTTGCTTCTGCTTTTGCTTTTAGCTTCTGCTTTTAGCTTCTGCTTTTGCTTCAATTAGGCAGCTTGAAGCGCTGCAAGTGCTGCTGCAAGAGGCGGCTTTGTTTACTGCGCTGCTTGCAGTGACCAGGGTCTACCGAGCGTGTTTTGCTGCAAGCGGCCAGCTTTCAATACTACGCTGGTTGCAGTAGAGGCCTGCGCTGCTGCAAGTGGCCAGCTTCCAACGTTGCCCGTAAAGTTTAGAGGAGGAAGGTGCCAGTCCAACAGTGCAAACCTTTGTGTGCCACTCTAAAGCTAAAATTAACGGAGGAAGGTGCCAATCCAACAGTGCGCACCTTTTATGAGCCAAGCGAGGGCACACTTAAGAGCAGGAACCTGCCATTCCAACGGTGCATGCCTTTTGCTAACAACCCAAGGGCGCAAATTAGAGGAGGAAAGCCGAAAAACTCCTAAGAGATTCGAAGCCGGAAGACAACCGCTGAGACAACTGCAGAGAAGTTCTTATTTCAATTCCTGTCTCCACTGTCCTCACTGCTCCCTCTCCTTCGTTAAGTGGGGCGCCTTTTCTGCTCCTTCCCTTTGTGACTGTCTCGCTCTCTCCCTCCCGCTGGCTTTGCTGCTTCGTCCCCTGACCTTTCTGCTGCTCCCGATGCTTGTAAAGCACTCCAAGAAAAAACATTCCCAGAAAAAAAGCTTCCAAAAAAATGTGCAAAGCCTCCATCCGAGACAAAAGCACGCGCCTTTTGCAGACCCTTGGCTCGGATCTCAGCTGTGACCTGCTTGCCATTGATCTGCAAAACCTCAGGCGGTTCCATCGACCACCTGCCAGGGTGAAAGCCGACATCTATTGCTCTACCTGCAAAGACGGGACTCCGGGTTGGCACAAGCATGACCGGATGAGGAGAAGTGCCGACTCATTTAAGCCTTAAGCCATCGTAAGCCTGAGCAGCCTTGATTCGTTGTGGCTGCGCTTGGCTACTTCTTTGGTATGACCTCTCCACCTTAATTATTGCTGTCGAAGTCTGTGCTTTTGGCCGAAGTTTGCACTTCCCTACTGCCCCACAGATACGGCGTTCCTGCGAACCCATTCCTTGTTTCTTAGCCTTCGGTTTTCTGTCCTTTCTTTCGCGTGTCCCGTCCTTTCTCTCGACTTCATTCGCTGACCCCTGGCAGTTCAGTGCTTTTGCTTTTCTTCCCTTCTTCTTCCTTCTGGTACTTCCCGCTGTGTCCATGATTTTGTGGAGGGTTCATAATATGCCTTGAGCACATCGCTAACACATACTATCACCATTTTTTGATGGTTGCTTTTTTTCGCAGGTCTCCACCCGTATGGGTTCAAATCAACGATGCCCACATCCTGCACCCAGGTTTTGCGCATGTTTTTGCCCATGTTTGAGCACGCAAATGGAAGAGGCATCCGCACAGCAAAGCCCACTCAAGAATGTTTGTCACCCTTGCCAATGCAAAATGTCTTGAATCACCAAACCTGCAATTTGCAAAGCACTGTTTCTTTTGCCTGCTTCAACAACGGTAGATCTTTCCATCAGCACCGCTCATCTAACCCCAATAACCACAACCGAGGAAGACAGGAAACCAGCTCGATGACTTCGGAATTTTGTCTATCCCTGAACTAACGTTCTACTTTTTGGTGTTGCGTCTTTGATTTGCAGCGCCGGCCTTGCATTCTCAACCATGCATTCCCGCGCTGTTGTTTGGTCTCTCCCCCTCGTTGCGACTTGCCTATTATAGTTTCAGTTTTCCATACTGTATGTGGTCAACATATGGGCACAGGCGAGCTGGGAGGAAGCAAGGATTGGCATTGGCATTGGGACACAGTACTATCAAAACAGGGGCCTGCTTTGTTGCTTTTCAATATCCTGATTGGTCTTTAAATTCTATACAGGACAAACCATGCTGAACGCCAATGCCAGACCGAAGGCGTGGTCCAGCGCAGTTCTTGAATCATGTGGCACCTATTTCAATCTTCTTGATTCAAGAGTAACTAACTGTCCAAAGAGCTGTTTCTCATTCAACTGCTAGGCACGTCCAAAGAGATTGTCTATCGAGGGCTGCACTGCTTTGTGGGACGACAGGCTCACCATGCATGTATACACTCAGAGTCATAAGTATAATTCAATACAAGAAGTATAATGGACGCGCGTACATATTGATATGGACTGGCGCCCCCGAAGGTTAAGATGACCCTTTCGTAACCGTTTTTGCTCACAAGCTCAAAAGTGGTATGTAAGACTACAGTCTTTGCGGCGTTGGTACCACTGAGTCAGACCGGGTGTGTCCGTTTGGCCGTGCGCACGACCGCTTTTGGACTGCTTGGATCGGCTTCCTGTGCGGGGAAGACCGTGGGCCGTGGGCACTGACTAACGTCCGAATCTGGAGGGCATCATCGAGGAGGAGATCGAGAAGATCAACGAGCAGGAGCGGTTGCAACAAGCGGCGGGGAGAACCACTACCCCTAAGGTGGGGAGTGCAGTAGCTCCTACTGTGGGGGCGAACGTGGTGAGTCGTGTTGAGCCGGAGTTGATTGAGGAAGGGGGAAGGACATCAAGCGCATCCAGACCAGCTAAGGGGCCAAAGGCAAGGGATAGTGACAGTGAGGAGCACCCTTCGCCCCGTGCAAGGTCATCGAGAAGGAGGCGACGAGACAGAGACAGGTCCAGGAGTGAATGGCCGAGGAGAAGGAGACGCAGGAGTGAGACTCCAGACAATAGGCAGGGGCCAAAAGAGAGAGAGAGAGAGAGAAGGAGAAGAAAGCTCACCCATCAGTTCGACCACCGAGAGCACCTTCTCGGCCACTTTTGGGGAGGCCTCCTCCAGTCGCTAGGCCTGTGGGGACAGCGCCCCATCTGCGCTTGGAAGCTGAATCCCAGGTACTTCGGAGCCAACGAGGGAGCTAAGAAGCGATGAGACACTATTTCGAGATCAATATAAGGGAAGCTGCATTGGGCGATGCCACCTAGACTTCGCCCAGCGGCAGGCCGGGGAGGAAAAAGAGGAAGAGAAGAAAGAAGGCGACCCGCCCGAGGAGTGGAGGCTGCAGAAGAGAGAGAAGGAGAGGAGAGGGCTAGGGAGGGCGCACGGCGCACGTAGCGCCTCTTCCTCTATAGAAGCGCCTCGCCGAGGCCTCACCAGTACCGTGGAAGGAGCGTATTGGGGGCCCGGTGCATCTCCAAGGCACAAGCGACGAAGGCCCTTGAAGTGGGCCACCGGGCATATGGCCTAACAGAAAAGCGCCCTTGAGGAGAGGGCGAAGAAGGAAAAGATCTCCTGCGCGGAGAGAGAAAAGATGGAGACGAATCAGAAGGGACGCGGTCAACAGGAGACAAAGACCGGAAGAAAGAGGAGAAAGAGAAGGCCGAAGACGCCGAAGACCAAAAAAGAATAGAAGCGCAAGAAAAGGAGCGAGGAGAGAGCGAAAAGCTCAGGCAGGGCAAATAGACAAGGTCAGTTATTTGAGGGAAGGCGCGAAGAAAAGCCTGAGCGCTGCTTCGGAGACACGGGACTAGACCCGGACCCGAAAATCCGGAGGCGATTCGCAGCCTGGGCAAACAAGCGATCAAAAAGACGGAAGATTCGACCAGCTCAAGGGGAGGTCTTTGGGGAACAACAGAAGGTCCGACAGCTTGCCCGCCGGGTTCCTCACGTGCTCGCGGCGATGTTGGGAACAGGGCCAAACATCTATCCAGCCCCTTGCCTGCCAGTACCCCCAGGATGCAGGGAGGCCAGCGCGAGAAGCACTTGTCTCCCACTCGTCTCCAGCACACTCGGCCGCATCATTTTGCCCTTGTCTCCCACTTGTCTCCCTTGTCTCTCAGTCTGCTCTGGGTACTCCTCGGCTGATGTTTCCTCTGCCTACTCTGGATGCACTTGGCCGACGTTTGTTTTTACACCTGTCTCCACTGATCTCCCTCCCTTTTTGCCGCCACTCTTTCAGCCTACTCTGGACACACTTGGCCGGATGTTTTTACACTTGTCATCACTTGTCTCCTTGCTTGTGTGCTCTCGGCCGGATGATTACACCTGTCTGCCTGCTTGTCTCCCTTCTTGCTTCACTTGTCTCCACTTGTCCCGGCCTACTCTGGATACGCTTGTCCCACTTGTCTCCCTGCTTGTCTTCCCTCTTGTTGCACTTGTCTCCACTTGCCTCAGACTACTCTGGATGCACTTGCCAGTTGTCTCTTTGCTTGTCTCCATGCTTGGTACTCTCGGCCAGATGATTTTACACGTCTCCCTTGTTACACTTGTCTCCACTGCTTGTCTCCTTTGTTTCTTCACTTGTCTCCCTTCTTGTCCCCCTGCTTGTCGCACCTTGCCTTTGAAGCTTTTATAACACCCCTTAACCAAACAAAGCATGATAAAGCCACATCTCAGTACAACTCAGCATATTCAGTATGTTCTATTTTCGTCTGAATTGATTGTTTGACCGTTCGTCTCTGTGGCTTACGTCATGATTGCACAAACTGTTTTGGGTCTACGCTGGTATAAGTACATATTACCTGGTAATGGTAATTCATTGAATTGCCACGTCTATTTTTTAATTCGCTATATCTCTTTTTTTACGTATATAATTAATATAATTAAAGTCTTTTCAGTTAGCATCCAGTGACTTCCTACTATAGTGAAACTGATGCATGGTGAAGCTAATCTTTTGACCCATCCTTTTCCCGTGCCATTTGCATGAAATCATTCCAGCTGGCGCTGGCGCTTTCATTTTTTGGATGCGGGTGTCTTCATGGTCTCATCTTAACTTGATCATTCTCACCACCACTCCTCAGCTACTTCAATTTGCTCGCTCAACCTTTTAACTGCTTCTCCTAAGGCGTATGCTACCAACCACTCTGATGACCAGTTTTCTCCCAAGCAACATGTTTTCCACAACCCCAAAAAAGCCGTTTAGCAAAGTTCCTTTCAGCTGGCAATGTCCAACCACTCACGCAGGCCCTACCCCCCTCTGATAGCGGGGGCGCCTCCCCCGATATCACGCCCACCCTTTGGCCTCCATCTGGTCTTCCATCTCTGTTATCTTGCAATCCTCTTCCTTTTGCGAAACATCATCCCAATTAAGCCATCCTGTAAAGGCACCCTCACCACATAGAGCCTCCATTGCCCACGCTCTCAGATGAAAGCTCTCAATTGGCATGGCTCTGGTCTCTCATCAAACTGGGGCCATTTTGCTAAGCCCTCAGTGCTTTCATGGTTCAAACTTTCATGGCTCACAGAACCCCATCAACCATCATCCATCATTAGGCCACCTTATTGGGGGATGTGGCCTCCAACACCTCCAATCTCAAACCTTGTCGACCCTGCTGACCTTGAAGGGTGCGAAAAAAATATGCAAGGTAGGATCTCTGGCATGTGTTTTTCTCATATCGAGTTTTCACAGACAGCCATTTCAAAAAGTTTCAACCATAAAGTATAGCACCCTTGAAGTGATCGCCAGAACCTAACTTCCCCAAGGAGTTTAAACTACTGCAAACAGCAGTAAGCAAAACATGTTGGCAGGTTTTGTCGGGAGGATGGCGCGGCATGCTATGTATATGTTGTTTATCTGTATGTATGTATGTATGTATGTATGTATGAATGACATATACATGTCTGTGAGATTTACTTTGATATGTATGTTTGAAGTGATGTTTGGCACAATTGTTCTAACCAGGCAGTTCCTACGAGATCTCCAAAGGCAAGATTCGGACATAGAAGCAGCAGCTTCTCACATGAGTTTCGAGCAGATCTGCAAGCAGAACCAGCGGGCAAACCCAGAATCCTGTGGGAAATCTGGCCTTAGATATGTCAGTTGTTTTCCATGTTCCAGCTTTGTGGGTGGCAATCATGTGGCAGAATCACTTGTTGGCCATATGGTTGCGCATTTTTTGCTCGGTGACCAGATGGGCTGAATTCTGGCTGACCGTATGTGGATGCATCAGCAATTCCAGTATTCTTATTTCTTAGCACTCTGTGCCACGCAGCGAACCCGGAGTTTGGGCAAGATTGTATAGTTGGTTTCAACGTGAGGTCAATGGAGACGTATATGATGAGGGTGGTACGCTTGGGCCTTAGAATGAAATGCGTTCGGATTTGGATGGATGCCACGAACATCATTGGGTGGCAGAGCAACGTTGCTATGAGGTCAGAGGGATTACCTCAAGCACATGATGTTTCTCGGTTTCTTTTGTATGTTATTGCACCACATTTTGTCAGTCGTGTAATCAGTTGCATCGACCCTTTGGGTGTATACTGCTCCAGTTGCACGTAATACACACGCAGGAATCTTGCAGACGAGTGTGCTTCCTACGTAGTGCTTGGGTTGCATGGCCCTAGCGCAACTGCAGATGAGATCAAGAAAGCCTACCGCAACCTGGCTGCTGCCAGGGCACATGGATTCAATGGAGTTTGTTGTTTGTGGGACATCTGCAAGGCACTCTGGCACTGAAAGAGCATCCAGACAAGGCAAGGCCCACGCCGCTGAGAAAGGGTTTGTTGGTTTTGCCTGTAGGTTTATCTCTCTGTTCTCCAGGCTGGCATTGAGAACAAGGAACGCTTTCAAGAGATACAAGAGGTGGGAATACACAAGGAACAAAAGAGAACATGGAATGAAAGAGACCATTGTATTGAAAAAGTAACTATTCAGTGCGTTGATTTTCCGATTTGAGGCCTATGCTGCAGCACTCAAGCGGAGCAAGTCTGAAGGCCACAATACAGGCCGAGATGAGAGCTCCGCAATACCGAACACGTTTACAAAGGAAGCCGCGTTTTCTGCGGAGCAAGTGAAGGATGCAGCAGACGAGATAGCAGCTATAGCATCCCGCACCGGTTCGTTATGTGCACGGGCTGTAGAGGCTCGCGGGCAACAAAAACGGACCGCCTTACGTGAGTTAATGGACATTACCAGACAAGGAGCAAGCAAGCTTCGAGATTGTGCTGTCAACATGCGGATCCTGCGCACTGGGAGCTGTCAAGTGGCGGCATGCGCTTCTCAGGCATTGGATGAATATGGGTCATGGGCTGCAAGCATCATGTCTGGGGTGGGGCTTGAAGAGCGTGGAGACCTTGTCAAGGCTGCAGGGTTGTCCTGCGGAGTGACTGCAGATCACCTTGAGGAAATGGCTATGAATGACGAGAATATGGTGGCCATGTTAGAGAATCCAGGGTGCTCGATTGACCAAAGCTCTGCGGTGCGCGTGCTTAGTGAGAGCACATCCCGGACAGCAACTGTGGTACGCTGCGCTGCGGACAAAGCCATTTGTGTCGCTAATGGTTCTTTGGAACTCGGCTGCAGCTTGGCCATGTTGGATCAAGAACAAAGGAAGGAGAGAGCCAAGGAGAAGGCAAAGGAGACCGAAGTGAAGGAAGGTGAGAGAAGTGAGAGCCGCTCTCACGAGACAAGTGAACCAATGCGTCACGGACCACGCATGAGAGGACATGTACGAAAGTCTGAGTCAGAAGGCGAAGGTGAGCAGGGCGAGGGCGAAGAAGCCGAAGAGGCAGAAGAGGAGGGGAAGCCAAAGCAGGCGAGACTTTCAAGGGGCAGCGTAGCAGCATGTGGCAGCGTTGGCAAGGCAACAACAACATTTCATATGAGTTGCAGTATCCTCCGTGCTATTGGTCCTCATTTTATAGATAGTGACCCGTTTGCTATTTTTCCGGCACCTTTGACAGCATTTTGTGAGGAGATGTGAGGAGTTTTGGTTTTGGTGGCCACTCTTGACACTTTTTTTGAACCCTTGCTGAGCATTTTATAGAGGAGTGGAGGGCTGTCACACGCACTTAGCTTGAGATTTGGATGTGCATTTTATAGAAAGCATGTTATGAGAGCATTTGGATCTGGTTGTGCATTTTGTGGAGAATTTAGGGCTGACACTCGTGACAGTGTTCGGACTTAGCAAGAACCTTTTATGGAAAGAGCATGTAGTCACTGGTAGTCTCTAAAGTATGATGCCTCTGCAGCCCCCAATGTCAAATTTGCGGACTTCTTTCCAAAATCACTTGACCAGCATTTTATAGAAACCTTGCTCGTGACCAACCATGGTCTCCCGGTTACACGCCCTGTCGTCCCAGCCAGCCAAACAGCCAACCCACCACCAGCCCACCAAAGCTCTATAAAATGCCTGTTTGGTTTTGCATTGAATAGAGGTCTCGTGTTCGTCTATCAACCTGGCTTTATCATTCCACAATGGGCTTCACTTGTCCGTCCCTCCAATGATGTTTTACTACTGCTGGATCTGACTGACGTTGCATTTTATAGAAACACCTTTGCCAGGCATTTGTTGAGGTTTGTCCTTTGCCAGGCATTCTATAGACACGCTTTCTCTATAAAACGCTCAGCAAAGGATCCCAGTGGCAAAGCACGGAGGATGGTACAGTAGTAAGTATCAAATAAGCTTGGTAATGGTAGCGGTTGGTTTGAAGGTTTCTTCCCCACCTGCCAGGTTAGGGTCTTTAGGTTTTCTACTCCTTCGTTCGTTCCTTCCGTCTGTGTGACAGCCCAGCTCGGGCCCGCACCGGCCCGCGCACCTTCGAGAGGGCCAGGTCAACCTGGGCACCCGCGCTAGAGAGAATCCCAGAAAGGATGCTAGAAAAAGACCAGGCAGAATGCCGGAAAGGATACTGTAGATACTTGTAGAATGACGGAAGAATGCCAGAAGTTCTGAAAATATGCAAGCAACAGTGCAGGAAAGATGTCAGAATTTGTGGTAGAAAGAATGCCGATATCAGAATATATACAGCTAGATAGCTTGCTGGAAAGGATGCCAAAATAAAGACCAGATAGAATGCCAGAAGATAGGCCGGTCAGAATTTCTGTATATTTGCGCAGTAGACCGTAGTAGAATTGATGCCCAATCATATGTCGCGCCCTACTGTAGCCTGGCTTTTCAATGCCAATCCTGCAAGTGTTTTTCATGGTTTTTGTGCGAGCCCACATGGTGAAGGCAGCGACTCGCCGCTCCAAGGGGCCTCGGTAAAAGGGGGCGCCCTGTGTAATGCAGTGAAGTGGCTGTGACGCCCACACATGTAGCAGTTATGGACGTCTCCACCCTCTTCCCCGTCCAGCACTGCGGCTTCGTTGGACAATGTTCATTACTAAAGTTGCAAGAGGTTTGCGGCCCGCTCCACGCAAATGCGCTCCTTTGATTCCAAGAAGGGCTGCAAGCGCAACATTCACTACTTTGTTGAAATTTCAGCGCTTAACTGTTTAGTTCCAGCGATGCTGGATTGCTGCGTTAAACAAGTCTTTGCGTGGGGGTCGGCTGTCATACAACAATTTTGTAGCTGTACTTTTGCACTGAGCAGTGCTCACCTGGCGTGCCAAGCCAGGCCAAGCTCCTGGTTCGCAATTTGAGGTGGCTCGAAAGCCTCAACGCAGAAGTGCTGGAGCTTCAAACAAAGTGGCATCTCGGCAGATGCTCTATTTATTGACGTGTTATTCAACATATTGCTTCAACAACCAGACTAGGGCGAGGTTTGGCTTCTTAACAGCTCGTAGTCATGCCCCCACCGAGTCTTTGCCAGAAAAAATCCACAAAGTATTAAAGTTAGAACGCCAAACTGAACAATGTTCAGAAATTCACCCATTGGCAATTGGCTAGTCAACATCACACCAATGCACAAACAAAAGCAGAAGCCCCGTCAACGCACATCTTCTTACTTTGTCTCAACCCCCTTCCAAACTAAAACAACAAGCCAAGGACTACCAGCTGGAGTTCCGGTCCTCATCGCCGTCGTGTTCGTCGTTGTAGTAAGCAGTGGCGCAGCAGTAGTAGTATTAGTAGTAGTCGTAGTCGTAGTAGTAGTAGTAGTCGTCGTCGTCGTCGTCGTCGTGGTAGTGGTAGTGGTAGTGGTAGTGGTAGTAGTAGTAGTAGTAGTACTAGTAGTAGTCGTCGTCGTAGTAGTACTACTACTACACTTCTCGCTTTGTTCTTGCAACGGGGTAGGAAACAAACACTGCAGGCCGCGGTCATTTTCGACCCACCAAAAGAACTATGGGTGGTGGTGGTGGCGGCATGTGCAGGAGTAGCAGCAGCGGCGGTAGCAGATTGGAGTAGCCGTGGTCGTCGTCCTCGTCGTCGTCGTCGTGGCGGGGGACGTTGCTATTTCTTGACCCCCCAGAACAACACTCAAACGGACCAATCCCAGCAACAATAAGTTTGTCGTTTCCACGTGCGCATCTGAGTTGGAATGAGAGAGTATTGTAAGCTGGAGTCCTTGGAGGAGGGTTTTGAAGGTAGAGTTTCAGTGCTCATGTGAAATCAATGATAGACTAGATGAAAAACTAGATCAAAGTAGCTCAAGACTCAATGTAGAGTTCATGTCGCAAATTGGGCCCTCACTTTCTTACACTGCAGTAGCAGTCAGCGCCAAGCAGCCTCCGCACAGGCCAACAACAAAGTCCAAGGCCGCAACCTGGGTGACCAACCCCCCAACCTTCAACCAGGACCACGACCGTACCAACAACGCAGCAACAGCTACAACGACAACTCAAATGCGGTAACAACAAGCACAAGTGTAGCAACAACGGCGAAGACACCACCGCCAAGAACAGAACCACAACGAATTAAGTTTGCAAAGTATCAGCGACAATTGCAATCGACAAAGAGATCTAAAACGAAAATGATTGCAAGCAGCAACGGCAATAGCGTGACCCAGGACCCCCAACATCCTGCCCCCAAAACCTGTACCCGTTCGACGGCCCTGGAATTCCAATTGATCGGAAACTGGATTGAAGTTTCTACTTTGCTTACTCCCCCTCATGTAGCGCCTTTTGCCTGAGGCGAGCTGCCATTCATTCAGATCGCTGCTGGGCTGAACAGGGACTGAGCACCAATTACATATTGAACTCGGTGCAGCTGGTGACCAGGTGGGATGCTGAAAGGCATAGCCCCCGAGCACAAGGGAGGTGGGCCGAACGGGTTTTTGATGGATTTGCTGCCATGTTTTTGTCCAAGCAGGTGTGTTCGATCTTGTCGGGCAGATTCTTCACGCAGCAATCGCTGAAGCAGTGCATTGGGCCAAGGATTGACATAACATGTCCACTGGCATTCTCCACCCTCAAGAAGAAATCCCTGATGCCATGCTTGTAAGTCGTGTGATATGAAAAACGCCGATTCGTCGTTTCCAGGATGATGCTTTGTCTTCAAAGCAAGTCCTCGAGCGGTCACTGGCAGCTCTCCTAGCAGTCCTAGCAATGTGTCAGAGCGGAAGAAGAGACGAGTTTGAACCACTTCGGTTGGAGATGTTTGGTTGACCTTCTTGCTGTGAATTGGGAGCGTACGGTGTCTCGCTGGCCGAGGCATTTGCTCTAGCTTTGGAGCACACCCAGCAGGCAAAACGTGTCGTTTAGATCTGCCCCTCATGCTTTGTTTCCTTAGTCCACCTACCAATTCATGTGCGCCGCAGTCGTGGATCATTTGGCATGCTTTTGTCCATCATGACTACCAAGACCCGCACATAATTATAATAGACTTTGTTGAACCCCTGATTTGCGTGTTGGTGTGCTTTGTACCCCTCAGACTTGCAAGCAAGAAGTGGGAATGCACATTCGGTGTACCACCATGAGATTCAGCTGCTCTTCATCGGAGCACTGACATCAAAAGAAGAGGTTCAATGGTTGCATGTCTCCATTCATGGTCATGAGCAAGCTGATGAACTAGGTGGCGGTGCCTGCAGAAGTGAAGACGCAAGTTATGAAGCATGCAGCGCTGTTGGATGTGGACTTGCTGTGCTGCTTGGAGAGCGATGCGCTTTGCGAAGCCAAGTTGGCAAGATATGTTTTCGTGTTCGTCCACTTGCATATTGCCGTTACTTTAGGCACTCCTGCAACATCAGTCAATGAGGCCAAAACTTGCTGAGCACATGTAGTTCTAAGGCCAGATCATCGACGGGCCCTTCCAGAAGCGGCTCATATCTGCCGGGACTCGGCGAGCAACCCTGACTTCCAGCCGGCCACGGTCACTGGCGCCAGGCGAAGCATGGAAACACGTGACAGACCGTCACCAATGCGTTTTCATTTAGCTAGTGTTTTGCATCGATTGTTCCCGTGCTAGGCGAATCATGGCCACATGTAGTGCAGTCGGTTTGCTCAAGAATTTCCTCGAGCCTGCGGCAATCGCACCTCGCCTTGCATTTTGGATGCTTTTGGACCGGGTGGTTTTGAACATCTCCTTTTGGATCTCCGTGCCACCGCCTGCAGAGACAAGTGAGGTATACGACCAGTGGGTCTACGGCCTGCAACTGACGTCGTCGGGTTTCAAGGTCAAGGTGAAGCTACTTGTAGATGGACCTATGTTGTTAGTTAACGATAGCATCATCGTGCCCCACACCAACTAAGTTGGTTAGAAAGTTGCACGTGGCTGAAACGGTGTCCATTGGCAGCAGGCGAGCTATGGAACGGTCCCCAGCTTGTAATGGCCACAATGCGTACTGACACACAGCAAGTGTGCTGCAACAATTGTTGCAACCCGCAAAGTCCCATGGCAATTGAAACGAAGCTGATCAGATATGCTTGACTTGCCTCTTTTTTCTGTCTGCCAAAGCCATGGGAGCCGTAGAATTTGGTGTATGGTTGCGTTCCTTGCGCAGTCAGCAATTACGTTTGCTCCAAAAAGCAAGTTGCCACTGGTTAGAGAAATACGCAAGCTTGACGCAGGTGTTGGTCTATCTCCTATCTCCGCAGCCATGGCTCTCAGTCTGGGCTCTTGGCCCCTAACCTCAACGCGAACCCCTGCGTTGGCGGTCGACCACTAGATCTATCAGGTACTAGCTGCGTGCAGCGGGGGGCTCACTCGTGTGCATCGCATTGCTCGCTGACATGCGTATTGGTACATTCATTTCAGGATGCGCGCATTGTCCTTTTTCGTGCCACAACTGAATTAAGATTCAGACAGTTATGGCGAGGTAGAAAATGCATAGGGTGTGTGAGTGTGTGTGTGTGTGCTCTACAGCTGCTAGAGAAAAATGGAGGAGAAAGCATTGGTGGGTAAGAGAACGCTGCACGTATCGCTGCAAAATTATTTTGGAATGCCTCGTCAAGGTTAGCGTTCTTGGCGCAGCTGCAGACACAGCGCAAGCGCCGGCACTAATTCAGCAGCGGTCAAGGCTTGCCACTGAATGTTCAAAATCAAGATGCCTTGCAAGCATGTTGATTTGCTGAACAAGGTTGAGAGGCGGAAGAATAGTTGAACTGCATGAACTGGAGGAGAAGGTGCCTCGATGTTGTCACAAAAGCTGGCATCAGCTAGCTGGAGTTAATCTATACAATTTTGGAGGGCTGGTGATGGATTGCCTACCACGTGAATCACTGTGACTACATGTCCCCTTGCGCAATGCATATGCAAAAAGCCAGAGCTCACTTTGTTACACGTTGTTTTCTCTTGCGGGCCCCTTGTAGGCTTGCCCGACTGCGAGCCAGGTCCAGTGGTATTGTTCTATCATGTTCCATCATTCCACTTGTGGATTTGACCCTCAAAGTGGTAGCGGAGCTTGATTGCTTCTCTACTTCAGCTAGTTTTGAGCAGCTACAGAAGACAAACCACCCAGCATGTTCTCTCCATACCCTGCCCAGTCCATTGGCAAGCCTCCTATCGACATCGTGCTGGGGATTCAACCTATACCAACGCAGGCAACAGATATTCACACCGCTACGCGGTGGAAGCCGCCCGCACAGACAAAGTAATTGTGTCAAGATAGCGAGGAGACGGGCGGGTGAGTGGGTGGGAAGCAGCAACCTGTGCTCATGGAGCCGGGCGGAAGTGTGGTAACGAGGAAGCAGCAACTTGTGCTCAGAGCCGGGAGGAAGCGTTAACCGGGCTCAAGAGGGAAGAAGTGCAGAGGGAGGAAAAGACGGCGAAGGAAACACTCAGGGGTGGGAAGTTGAGCCAAAGTTGGGGGGTTAGTCTAGGACTGGATGAAGCAGCAGCAATCGGTAAATCGGGCGTAGCACAGCCTGATTCGGGGTGGAAGTATACCGGCAGCCGGGGTAGCCGCAGCGATGGGCAATGTGACCAGGGACCCAGCTGAGGCTTACCAGTTTAACATGAGTAGGGAAAAGGAAAGAGGTCGGGCAGGTGCGTGTGTGTGTGTGTGTGTGTGTAAACCGCTTCAACATGCGGATGTTGAATTTTCGGGGCTTGCGGCCATCACGCAAACGCATGCCAACGAAGCTATGCGTGGTGGTGGAAGCCGGGTCTGATCAACCTGCTGTACCTGCTGAGTGATAACACCCCAATCTTCTTTGCTGTTGCTTTCTTGACAAGTCAGTTTGCTTCAAACATACTGCGTGATCGACATGATCGACGGTGTCCGTCGAGACCCCGCGTGGGACTCTATAGATGGCACGGGCCTTCCCGCATCTTCCCGCAAGAAGACAATGGCCCTCACTTGGTTCCTGAATCCTGCACACCAAAGTGGTGTTGAGTAACCGCCAGCTCGCACAAAATACAGTCTCAGGATAGACTGCAAATAGCTGCGATCATGCGCAGCTGCAAAGCGGATGAAGGTGCCATAGCGCAAAGTTGCAATGCAAAGCAGACTCGAATATGTTGATTGAACTACATGTCCGACTCTCAAGCTTACTTCTGACTTGATAAGAAGTTATGTCACTTTGAGACAATGCTACTATTTTTGGATATGTAACATCACTTGTTACGGACCTTGGTGGGATTCGAGGAAAAACCGCATTTTCTAGACTTACGCTTGTTACTTCCGGGGCATGAAGCTTGAGTTCTCAAAGCGTAACGCAATATAAGACCCTCTTTGAGCTTTTCTAGCCAACATGTTTGGTACGAGGAAGCTCCTCACTTGTAGGCTTCACATTGTTGTTCTGCAACTGACCCGAGTTGATCTACACAGACAGTCATCCACAGCCTGTCGGTCGTTGACGCAAGCCGCTGCACATGTTTGGTACGAGGAAACCCCTTTGTTGTTCTACAATTGGCCCAAGTTGGTCTACGCAGTCACTGTGAGCACCACAGGCTGTCGGTCGTTGACGCAAACCGCTGCACATGTTTGGTACGAGGCAATCCCTGTCTCCTATAGGCTTCCACTTGTTGTTCTGCACTTGACCCGAGTTGGTCTACACAGTCACTGTGAGCGCCTACAGCCTGTCGGTCATGGTGCAAACTGCTGCACATGTTTGGTGCGAGGAAACCCCTCCTGTTCTTGTAGGCCTTTGGGGGGCACCTGGGTTTATTCACTGAGCGCAGTCAGGACGCGCGTTGTCGTCGCTCGGATCGTTGCAGGCTGATCGCGCTTTGCCCATTGGGCACGGAAACCCTTACTGTAGTTAAAATGCAACCCCTTTGCGGGCCAGCAGGGTCCTGGGTTAGACCTTAAGTTACTCTCGTATCTGGGGTCTGCTCAGACATTCGCGGTTTGCGCCTTTGATGCGATGGGCGCAAAAAAACCATTCTACGCAGTCAAAACCACCTGGTTGGGCACGCGGACTTCCCGATTCTAGGCTTCACAGTGTTGCCATACTGCAAATTGATTACAGGTAGTCCCGACCTTAAAACTTTTCTCAGATCTGAAGTCTGAGCCCTCTGTAGAAGGGCCCTGTGTGTGTGTGTAAACCGCTCTAACATGCGGATGTTGAGCTTTCGGAATTGAGAATTTCGAGGGCAGGGGGCATTCGGCCATCACGCAAGCGCACGCCAACGAAGCTATGCGTGATGGTGGAAGCCGGGTCTGATCAACCTGGTGTACCTCCTGAGTGATAACGCCCCAATCTTCTTTGCTGTTGATTTCTTGACAAGTCAGTCTGCTTCAAACATACTGCGTGATCGACATGATCGACGGTGTCGTTAACTCATCTTTGAGCTTCAAGGACACATACTAGGAGGTTTTGGGCGTTGCCATCATCCTATCGCTCCACATTCCCAACTCATTCCCCAGTGTGTTTAGGGTGCATGCCAGATCTGGTGACGCCGTCAAGACCCCGCGGGGGACTCTATAGATGGCACGGGCTTTCCCGCATCTTCCCGCAAGAAGACAATGGCCCTCACTTGGAGGTTCCTGAATCCCACCAAAGTGGTGTTGAGCAATCGCTAGCGCGCACAAAATAGACTGTAAATAGCTGCGATCACGCGCAGTTGCAAAGCGGCAGAAGCTGCCATAGCGCAAAGTTGCAACGCAAAGCAGATTTGATTAAGTTGATTGAACTACGTGTCCGACTCAAGCTTACTTCTGACTTGGTAAGAAGTTATGCCATTTGGAGACAATGCCATTATTTTTGGATTTGTAACATCACTTGTTAAGGACCTTGGTGGGATTGGCGGAAGGCCCTCATTTTCCTAGGCTACTGGGGCATGAAGCTTGAGTTCTCAAAGAGCAGCGCAATATAAGCCCCTCTTCAGGCTTTTCTACCAAGAGAAATGGAAACCTTACATTTCCGGGCACACGCGGGCCAAAATTGAACAATAAATTGATTTAGGTGAAACGGGCGCTGAACCGACGCCCCAGCGACCGGCAAAGAGGGGTCGATGGAAGGCAACAACAGGATCGGAAGAGAAAATTGGCGCCACAATATGACAGATGAAAAACGATCGGGGCACGAATGCTCCCATCACGGAAAGAGTTCAAGCAAGCGCTGACTATATTTGACTAAACATTGCAAAAAAGAGTTTCGACACAGCTTCCCCAGGTGAATGACAAATTTTGGAAAGCAATGGTGCTGATAGGAGTCGTTTACCAGTGAGGAGTTAAATGTGGCCCTTAAAGTTCAAAAACAAATAACCTTGCCTCATTGACTCTTTGCTCGACGATGGTGTAAGGCAGCCCCCAAGGACCTTTTCTGACAGGAACTCATAGACTCATGGCGCTGCAAACAGACCTATTTCTTTGCTGAGTAGCCAGTGGGGCGGAGCCTCGGCTGTGCACGCGCTTTGTTCGGTTGTACAAACCAACCACAAAATTCAACGGACACAGAGCATTTGTGTTACATAGTATTGTGGACGCAGAGCATCTGTGTTACATGGTACTGTGGAAGCAAATATGGCCAAAAGAGATCATCGTGCAGAAGAATGTCGACAGAGACCTCATTAACGCCCCACCCACCCCACTTCACCCCGACCAGAAATTTATGTTTATTCAGAAAGTGAGCGTCTGTGTTCACTGACCTGACCTAACAACATGTCATGTGCATTTGTATTGGTTTTAATCGATGTGTGTACAGGTGAGCTCATCCTGTGTGAGCAGGTGAGTTCCCCTTTTAAAAACATAGTGTGTGTACAGGTGAGCTAAAGTTGCGCACGCTTGTGAGGCGCCATCCAGCCAGTGTGTATGGTTATGATTCGACGGGGAACGTTGGGAAGGAAAGCAATTTTGTTTTAGAGGGGCCAGATCAATTTTGCCTGTAGCTAGAGGCTCCAATAAAACATGATGGAGCCAAAAGGACCAACAACATCATTGGTGAACACATGTCAGGGTGTAGTGACCGAAAACCTTTACGCACGTTGTTGGGCAGGCTCTTGGCCGAGGACTGCATGTTGAAGGCGAAGGTGCGCAATGAGCATCAAGCAGTTCGCTCGGGCAATAGCTCCCGCAGGTCAAAGGTACAGCGATGATGACGCTTCATGTTCTGCAGAAGGTGCCACCAGATCTTTTCTGCAGGTGATCCATTGATTTTACATTGCGCCAACCAACAGGAATCAGCCCCGGAGTTTGCGCGCTTGCGTCGCTGGCTCGGCCGTCATCCACAAAAGCCTTTTCAGCCATGGGCGGCGCCGCTTGGTTACATCAGATTTAGCATTGATGCCATTCTGACTTGCTTCCCTCATGGGGGATGGTGGTTCCAAGGCCGATTGCAACAAGAAGGAGAGCCGAGACAGGCGCGCCGAGACTTTGCAAAGGTGTGCGCTAGCCTGCGTGCGCACATTTGCAGGCTGGAGCGCGCCTTGATTGCAGAAATTGAGTCCGCCCTGGCGGGAAATCACACAGGACCCCCCCATCGGTTCTCCGAGTTTGAGCTTGCTTACCCCAGACCACATGAAAGTCCAAAAGCAGCGAGGAATTGATGAAAAGCGTTTGCGCCAGCTCGAGGAGGCTTGTGGGTTACATAAAAGTTGAAGCGAAGAATCGAGAATTGCATGTTCAGAGGAGCTCAGACCTATTTACACAACCTTGCCGGCAAAAGATGCGGATGGAGAAGAAGGAGGACTTGGATATGCCGCTGCAAAATATTTGTATTTGCCCAAGTCGGGGTACGGAGGGCCGTGTGCAGTGCAGCAGTCTTTCAGAAATAAGGCTACATCAGCATTTTCTGCGGCAGCATGCGCAGAGCTTGCATCAAGTGTTTCACCTTCCAATTCCACTCGCTACGCGGCTTCCCGAGGCATGGTATGTTCGAGGCTTGAATCCAGCAGGGGATGGCCGCAAGCCGCCTGATGACAAGGAACTCCGTGCACTCATGTATTGTACGTTATAGGTGTAACAATTGGAATCATAGAGAGTTTTTAGAGATTTAAAGCCGGAGGGGGTAACGGCAGATCATTTGTGACCGCTACCAACGAAGATCTCCATTTGATCTGGTGATGTCAGAGTTGGCCACCCTGACCTCCTGCTACAAGTTCATGGTGATGGCGTTCAACAGGTTTGCGCTCCTACTTCGGTTCTGCGCAGGCTGTTTCAAGTAAAACAGATCGGCAGCCAGGCATTTTGAACTTGGACTTACACTCGTCGCTCAACGGCCGCTGTCTCCGTCGTGAGATTGAACTTTTGAACTAGAGCCTCGACGGGCCCAGAACGACCTTTCATGGTTGGACTCCAGGACCTGTTTTCATGCGCGCGGCATGTGGCATTCAGACCGCAACGTACTCTATCATGTGTCACACGGAAAATTCCACGGTGAAAAGATACCATTTCGTGCCAAGGTCTATTTCATGCCAAGCAGCCAAGGAGGAGTGCTTCAGAAGCACAAATTCGATCCCAAAGGTATTCCGGGTGTATTCGCAGGGTATGAAGTAAAACCGGGCATGAATTGGTCAAGACAGTATCGAGTATGGAGTTTAGAGACCTTCACCAATCAAAGTCTAGCATTTGATGCACGACGTCCCTGACGTCCCATCAGGAAGTTGAACAAACCTCAACTTACAGAAACCATCGTGTTCATGAACCCAACCCAGTTCCCGCTCAAAGAGGAGTATGAGAGGATCAACAATACCATCAAAGGAATGAAGATCCGTGAACTACAAGATGGAGAACCCGAGATCGATGATCCCAGGAAGGAGATCGAGCATGATGAGGACAAATATCTACCTTCTGAACCAGGAGCACTGGACCGTGAAGAGATTGCAGAATGAGCTCGACGACGATCAACCAATAGACTTTGGTGATGAAGATGACGGAGATGACGATCCCAAGCCTGATGACGACCCAAAGAAGACTCCAGCCGCTCCACCAAAAGCAAAAGGACCTCCAAGTGTTGTGAGAGATGAACATGTTCTGGCAGGCGGCCCTTCAATGGATCATATGTCGAAGGGCACTGCAGGAGATGGAATCATCTATCTCAACGACATTGGGGAAACGGTCAAGCTCGATGTAAAAGGGCACCCTTCCAAGGTAGGAAGCGATGGAAGAAGATTCTTTCGATCGTCGCCGAGACCAAGATCGCAATACACTCCTGAAGAGTGGAGAGCTTTAACCATACCCGACAGGATCGTTGCCGAAAAGAAAGAAGCGCTCGAGAAGGAGATCGAACGGAAAAAGAAAGAAGGAAAGGACAAGAAGAAGAAAGATGAAGGGGCAGGATCGAGCAAAGACAAGAAGAAGAAAAAGGGACCTAAAGGAAAGAATTGAAAGAAGGATGATGATGACGATCCCAAAGACATTTCTCCAAGCATCCACTTACGCAAAGGGCACTTCACGGGCGAAGATGAAGACATGGGTGGGAAGGAGTCCCTCAGGTGTGTCAACTATGTCAACTGAATTGCCAAGTGAGTGATGATGACTATATGGAGGAATGGGAAGAATGGATTGCTGTTGAAAATGGACATGGGCCTCGTGCTACAACATTTGTGACAGTAATACCGGACAAGTGTTGCATACGCTATGCCAACTGCATCCAATAAATGTTCCTCGGAGGACTTACTAAGAATCTGAAAGAACACCATATCCCTTTCCCTTCAATGCCTTGCATCAATTCTGTTTCAAATCATCGCGAGAAAGTCCAATTCGAAGGTCAACTAGACTTGACCCTGCGAAGAAATACAAAGGATTATTCAACGCAGCAGTATCACGACCAGTCAGTCGAGCAGAGGCGGAAATGCTCAGCAACCCGAAAGCCCGAGCATCAATGAGGAACGAATTGTTGGGGCTTCACAAACAAGGCGTCTTTGACTTTTCTGTAATACGTGAATACTATGATGTGAAACAAGAGGCACTTACACTCAAGCAAGTAGTACACTTTGCAAGAGGAGAGTGGTGAAAGGAAGAAATTCCAGGGTAGAGGAGTACCCGTCCTCCTTCGAATCTTCAAGATGGGCAGATTTGTATGGATGTATTCCAGGACATTCGGTCAAGCTTGCTGATGCTATCCAAGCCACACCCAAGCTTATCTCACGCGACCGCCTTGTTGGGTCGAGTTACCGTCAGATGCGTGGCCAGATGATGTTGATGTTTCAAAGTATCATCGACCTGTGGTACGACTTCGCAAAGCTTTGTACGGGCAGCCCCGACGCAGGCACAATGTGGGAGAAACACTGTGATACATAGGTACGCCAACTTGGATTCAAACCAATTGGTGAAAAATGGCCATCGATGTATTTCCACGACGCCATGAAACTCCTTCTTGTAGTCTACGTCGATGATCTCAAAATTGCCGGACCGATTGAGAACATGTCCAAGGGATGGTCTATGCTTCGAACGAAACTTAGGATAGAGCCAGAGACGGATCTAGGATTATATCTCGGATGACGGAACAACGGTCAGCACGGTTTCCTACAACATGGAAGGACTACTCAAGTTACCCGTTGAGAAATACCTTGACATCGTTGGTCATGAGACAAAGATGAAGAAAGTCAACACTCCGAGTCTCCCCGAAGAGACCAAGGAGCACCCTGCACGAGCTCCAGCTCCGGGTAAGGAATGCGCAACATGTCCTTGGTGCCAAAAAACTCTAGCAAGGCCTCATCCAAATCAAATGAAGACGTCGTTATCACAGATGAGAGTCGTGGTGTACTTGCACCACACGCAGCTAGCGTTCTTATGAAATTGCTGTACGCAGCCAGGATTGCACGATTCGACTTGGCCCGCAATGTCAACAAATGGGCCAAGAAGGACGATGCTAAGCTACATCATCTGATGTGCTACGTGAATAGTACATTGGACAAGCGTGCATGATCGGATGGGTTGGCGACTCTATTGCAGATCCATCAATTGGAATATTCGCAGATGCCGACTTCGCTGGCTCTGATGAGACATTGAGATCAACCTCTGGATCCCACATGCATGTGCAAGGAAAGCATACTTGATTTCCCATTGCCGGCGGCAGTAAGCGCCAAGGGCGCGTTAGTCACTCCTCCCCCAAACCCGAGATTGTTGCTGCAGATATGATACTCCGTAATTATGGTATCCCCTTCTATCGGTTTATGGCAGATACTCACTGGCAAGGCCGCAAGGCTCCACTAATTCCCCTCCATGATGACAATCGGGGCATGATTGGAGTCGCTCGAACCGGAAGGAACCCCACCATGCGGCACCTAGAACGCACTCATGGCATATCTATCGTGTCCTTGCGTGAACATTTTCAGCGAGACCATTTTGTTCTCCTCTACATGAGATTTCCCACAAGATGTGTGCTGACATTCATACAAAGGCTTTCCGGACACCACTCGCATGGCGCCGAGCTTGTATGCTTATCAACCTGCTTGATCCTTCGGATTTGGGATCTCAAGAGTTGGCTGACATGGTCTCCCCTTAAGCGTCGATCACAAGACAATCGACTCGACCACCACATGTTCCAGACGAAGACTGACGACATCCCTAACTTCCCATATACACAGACCCCGGTTCTGCCGAGGGCGGTATTCCACAAAGGGATGGCTGGACAGGAAGGCGTACAAGACCTTCCGACTGGTGATTGTATCTGTATGTCGTCAAGGTCCCCGTCTACTATCGTCGTTATCCACCAGGACGATTCATCTCAGCAGATGTGTGTCGGAGCACCTGGGTACTTGTCAATGGTTTGTGGAATCGAGTCGAAACGGAAGCGCCTTACAGCAGGCCCAAAGATTCGACCAATGGGTCGAACGAGCATGTTTCCTCTATCGTGTCTCGAAGGCCTCTTCCGCTTCGGAAGCTGGTGTTTGCTTATCCCCGTCGCCTCTTCTCGCCTTTGCCAATGTCCCAATTCTCACTTGAGTCCTTCTCATGCGACCCTGCTTTCGCCTATGATCGATGGCAACCATTCAATAATTGCCAACCTGCAACCCTTCGTGTGATCAACACGCTGCTACGTCTTGTTCATGGGGGGGGTCTGGGGGAGGACGGCGCATTAATTCGCGCTTGCGGTGCGGTGATTGACCATTTTGACGCTCAGAAGTCGAGATCCAAAACCACAAAAACAAATATAAAGTATCAAGACGAATGGCGATTGGATGGACATACACTGACACGGGCGCACAACGTCCCAAGAACAAGCAAGTTTGTTCCACCAGAGTGTGACGATTGTCCCATCGACCTGTCGGAGTTGGCTGATGATCGAATCACAGAGCACTTTTACAGAAGCAACAAGGTAACTGTGCATGACTCGTGCGCTTCAGGGGCAACTCCATCAAGCAAGGTGAAAAATGAATTGGGAGCACTGTGTTCCGTGTCATCACTGATGACTCAGGGACGACACCTGACAAGGAAGCCACGGGAAAAGATAATAGAGAGGGTATAACCATACGCACGCAAGCATGGAGCAACATGTTTGTGCCTCAGTCGATTCAGTACCTTTCGAACGAAACGCCTGTTGGACGCAAACCAGCGCTGCACTTGATTTTGCAAAGGCAATCAGGCAGATCGCATAGGTATCAGTTCGAGTTGCACCTTCAAGAGATTAAGAAGATGGTGTTGGAGAACCGAACACATGATCATTGTGTGATACTACACGAAATGCAGAGGAACGAGCCCTGTCTTGTTCTCATGTGTGCTGAAGAACAAAATTGGTTCACAATTTGCAAACCACAACAAAGAAGCAATACATGAACGTGGTCACCATCACAGAGGATGACAATGCCACCTCAGCGTACGGGCAGAACAAGGTCAAGACATGCCTCAGGTCTGATTTGGATTGCGTGTTCTTCGCAGGTCCGCGCGCGGGAGGTTCGGCATGGAATCGTTTGAATCGAACAATCAGCAGCAAGGCAGCAACGCAGGTGGAGAAGCATCAACGTCTATATTGGAACCTGT